ATCCATTACTGAAGGAAAGTTGATAAATAAGTAAATAACACAGTTATTACAATCAGAGCAAAGAGTAAAAGTTTAACAATAAAAGTCAAGTACAACGATCTCCAACAGAACAAAGCTCTTAACACATTTCCACCATCTGAATCGTTCCCATCTTACAATAATTAACACCACGTTACATAATATGCTTGGTGTTACAACTAGCATCAGTCTCGACTCTAATCAATAAAATCACCAGTGTACTCTGAGCCAACCAAATCAAGGCTCAAAAGAAAGCCCTGCTCCCATAAAACACTCGGGAGTTGGAGTTCTTGGATGCCGGTGATTTCTGATCCGTACTTGAATTTCCAGAACTGTTTGGCCCACTTTCGTAGTCTATAGGAAGCTTCATCTTGGCCAATGACTCAGTAAACTGCTGCATGCTCTTCATGTACATGTCCACGATGTCTTGCTGCACCACCTTCGACTCTGGTTCAATGTTTACAGTCACAACAGGCTTTATAAATTCATTTCTCGACAGGCCACCAGATGCATTACTCGCAGCATCTCCATCATTATCATTTTTCTCTTTCAGATCATATTCCTGGTTTGGAGATTTTGAATCTGCAGGGTTCTTAGAGGAGTCAGAGCTCGGATGAAGTGGAGCAGATGGAGTTCCATTTCTTAATACACTGCTAGGAGGCGAATCTTGCTTAGGTAATAGAGGGGAACTGATAGTGTCAGTTGAGAAACTTTCCACGGGTTGAACTCTTACCTCCGAGCTTATCTGATTTTCAGTATCAGAAGTAACCAGGCTTTCTGAACTCTCGGAGTCCTGATCGCCGCATTTCATCCCAAAATACTCAGAAACCATTTGATGATTCTCAGTCACTACTTTAGGATCTGGGAATTCAATTTTTTCAAAGTCGTCAGGAACAGATGTGGGTAATTTTTTATCCTCCAAGACTGCATCAGTAGCCACAGATGTGGGTATTGCAGGAATTGGAATCACATCAGGCGACACCCCAACATAAGAGAGGGATAACTGAACAAATCCTGCCGGGGAGTGGAAGAGATCGGTTGAGGAAAGGGAAAATTCTTTTTCTAACTTCCCATTGTTGAGAAGGACTTCAGACAAAGGCACCAAAGCAAACCCTAGCAATTGATCTTCAAGATAATTTTTTACCCTGCTTAGCATCCATATCTCACATTTGAGAGAGGAATAAGCCTTACGAACATTAAGTCGGAGATTCTCATTAAAGATTGGATTTCTTCCACCACCATTAATGATCTTGGTGGAGACTGTACTTTCAGGATCACTAGT